CAGGAGACTTGCTTGAGCCCAGGAGTTGGAGGTTGCTGTGAGCTGTAATGCCATGGCACTCTACCCAGGGGGACAGCTTGAGGCTCTGTCTCAAGAAAAAATTATCTTGCTTACTGTTCTATAGTGCCACTCTTGTCATAAATAAAATGTTCAGATACATGTATACCTGTTTCTGGACTTTTTTTTTTCTATTTTTCCTTCTTTACACCAGTGCCATTAATTAAAATTGTCTTGGTTACTGTATGTTTTAATAAATGTTAATATCTAGAAGAGTAATTTCTTCTACCTTTCCTTCTTTAAGATTGCCTTGACTGTTTTGGTCTTTTGCAAATCCATATACATTTCTAGTTTTCTGCTGCCTTCACATAGATTTGTTTATATTTTATTCTTTCTTTTTTAAGACGAGCATAATTCAGCATTTGCACTTAGTACTTCCATTCAATCCTTGGGACCAAGCAGTACATTATTACATGCTTATATCTAACTATAAGGGAGACTTGAGAAATAGTCTTTAGCTTGTTGGCTATTTGCCTAGCTAAAGCTACTGTTACGGTACAAGAGAGCAGATATTGAAAGATAGCTAGCAGCCTACCATACTATTTGAGATTCTTTTAAACCACATGCAGTCTAATAGTTTATATCCTTCCCCATCTACCTCCATTGTGGCTCACTTAATACTTTGAACCTTTGCTGACTTTCCCAAATCACATGTTCCTGTAGCATGGTACATGGGTCCTATAGATGGTTGCTTCCTATCTTCAGTAGGCATGTAAATGTTTGCGAATTACCCAGCCCAAAGGGGCAATGAATTAATTGAGCACATTTATGTGTAGCCCTAATTAGTTCTTGTGTTCAAAGACTCTATTTCTGAACTGTTTTTGGTATATATAATTGAATGATGGATATAGAACATCTAAAAGTGATGTCTAACATTTTAACTCTGTTAATGGTAGACTTGCCCTATTTTCTTTTGTCGAAGTATTATTTGTCAAAATAATCTATAATCCTTTAAGTTTATTGCAATGCACATAGGGATACAAAAGAATAAATACTTTTGTAGGCAGGAAATAGGAAAGGAAAAATAATGGAAAAGATTAAAGAATTATGGGTTTTAAGTTAATTTTCATTGTTAATTGTGGTTTAAAAACATAAAATTTATCATCTTAATCATTTCTAAGTATAAAGTTCAATAGTGTTGAGTGTATATGCATTATTGTATAGCCAATCTTCAGAACTTTTTCATCTTGCAAAACTGAGACTATATCCTTTATTTAACAACACTACATTTCTGCCTACCACCAGCCCCTGGCAACCACCATTCTACTTTCTGTCTCTATGAGTTGATTGTTCTAGGACCTCATGTAAATGGAATCATACAATATTTGTCCTTTTATGATTGGCTCATTTCATTAGCATAGTGTACTCAAGATTCACCCATGTCACACAGCGTGTGCACATCAGAATTTCCTTCCTTTTAGCTTTGCATAGTAGCAGTATTGCAGCCAATGAGGTTTATCCAAGGTGTGATTATCGCTAATTGAAAGCTTTTCTGAATATCCAGCTGTGATGACTTGCAATATAGTCAGTACTGGCAATTTTTGACGGTCTCTATGGAGACTGAATAATTAAAAAAAAAAAAGAATTTCCTTCCTTTTTAAGGCTGAATAGTCTTCCATTTATAGGGATGTATTACATTTTGCTTATTCATCCACCACTGGGCACTTGGGTTGCTTCTACCTCTTAACTCCTTCTAATAGTGCTGTCATGAGCTACAGTGTACAAAAATAACTTGGAGATCTTACTTTCAGTTATTTTGTATATATACCCAGAAGTAGAATATCTGGATTAGGTCTAAGTTTGTTTCCTTTTCCCCCCTTGCCATGAATTAAAGATCTAATTAAAATTTAAAAATAGAAAATCTTCATAAAAACAAATTATGGATGATTAAATTATTTTTTAAATGTTTCCGGCTTTTTGGATTAAGTCACCCTACCCTTTAGACTTGAGTTGCTTTTATTTGCTATTTTCTATTTATATTTTTATGAAATGATAGCATATTGCCAAAGAGTTTAAAATTTCTTAGTTATTCTGTTACATGGGGACAAATTTTAATAATCTTTTAGAAAATAAACTTTACTTCAGTAGTAATTTTGAACATTGAAATTTAAACAAATTTTTGCAGAAGCTGGTATTGAAATATCACTTGACTGTTTATATAGCAATAAATGTTGGCACAAGGAAGCCAGTTAAAGGTAGACTAATTCTGGCTTCTAGTTCTATTCTTTTAACCTTATGAGCTTGGGTAGGTCATTTAAACTTTCTAATATTCAATGTTCTTCTCTGTAAGTAGATATTTGTCTAGCTTAGAGTATGATTCTTGAACAAGATAGTGTTTCTGAGAGTACTTTAAAAATATTAATTCCTCCATTATTTTAAAGCATTAGTAAATTTAAAGATACTATACTTTTTAAGGATAGCAGGTAATAATATTCTTTAATACCTTAACCCAGAGTAGTGGTTTGCCTCAAATTAGTATATCTAAGAATCTCTTTGGAATATCTTTGAAAATTATTTTAATTCAACTGAAAGGGAGAAAAAATGATATTAAGTCACTTAATATGGCTTATGGTAACACTAAACTGAACTGTTGGCATGGAATCAATGGTCTTTATGTATGCCCCTGGAGGGAAATATTTAAAAACAGAAAGCCTTAACTTTTCCCCCTCAAAATCAAAAAAGTACATTACATCTTATAAATACTTCTATTCCACTGTGAATTCCTTGAGCACGGTGACCTATTTTATCCTCTCCAGTGTGTACCACTTAAATAAACACATTAAATGCATCTCAAATATTAGTTCAGTTGGATTGAATATTAATAGTCATTCATAATTGTAAGTAAAAGAGGGCCTGTTAGTCATAAAATAGTTTTCCTTCCTCCTTATTTATTACACAGTGTCGTCTTATGTGTCTACATCGCCCCTTACCTGTCACAGCTACCATCTTGTACCTAAATTAAAATTTTTATTTTGCTATAGTTTCTGCAGACTTTGTAATTAGAGTCTTAGTTCTAATTAGACTAAGAATTACTCTCAGAACTAAATGTAAAAATACTACAGTAGAAAGAGAAATTTATTCCTTTTTCTTTTTTGAGACAAAGTCTCACTATGTCACCCTCAGTAGAGTGCTGTTATATCACAGCTCATAGCAACCTCAAACTTGTAGGCTTAAGGAGTTCTCTTGCCTCACCCTCCCAAGTAGCTGGGACTACAGGCGCTTGCCACAATGACCGGCTTTTTTTTTTTTTTTGCTGCAGTTGTCATTGTTTAGCTGGCGCCAGCCTTTCTGTATATAGCTGGTGCCATAACCACTGTGCTATGAGCATCGAGCCAAGAAAATTATTCTTATGTAAGGTTAGGATAAAATAAGTTTTCATTATTTGAGCATGTTTAAGTGAGGCTTCATCCTAAAAACTGTAAAGTATCTGGTACATTATTGAATATTTCCTCAAATATGGATTTTACAGATTTTTCATCCTTTACGTTGATACGTCACCTATGGAGAATACTATTTCTGCAACTCTCCCTGAGTCTCATTTTATCATTTTCAGGGTCAGTGAAGACATGAAATTAACTGACTTAGAGCTAGGAAAGTTGGCAAATAATATCCAGGAGTTATTGTATAGTGCCTCAGATATATGCCATGATCGAGCCGTCAAATTTCTCATGTCAAGAGCAAAGGTAGTTATTTTCTTAAAACTTCAGAATATTTATATTGTATATATAGTATAGTTATTTTGAAGATGTAGAGTTATGTCTTTGTTTGTGCCCTTATATTCCCCATAATGTATATATATTTTTAGCACTTAATGCGATTAATGGTCCTAATGGTGTCATCTCTTAGATGTTGAAATGTAAAAATGTAATGTAATGTAAATGTATTGATAATGTAAATAAAAGAAATAGGAAAATTATTGAAGCATTTATTTCAAATAAATGATTAAAGAATTTACTTTGAAATATGTTAATAATTAATTTGAAATTAGTATTGTTTTATGTATGCACATGTACATGTATATATGTATACATAGATATGTATAGTAACAGGAATTTGTAATAAAACTCTAATGTTAATTGTGAAAATTTTATACTATAATCTGAATTCATTTGAGCTACTACTATATTAGTTATAGAGACATCAAAGTCAAATATAAACATCTAAAGCTTTTCATGTTCAATTTCTGGGTCTGAAGTGTTAGAAAATTTTAATAAAATTATAAAAAGTTTATTGGTTAATATAATTATATTATATATTAGAAAATAATATTAACATTTGTCAAACTAAGTTTTATAGCTCATCCATATTTGGTGTTATACTAACTGTCTTGATTTTTATGTTATCTTTAAAACATAGGATGGTTTTCTTGAGAAGCTAAATTCCATGGAATTTATAACACTTTCCAGATTAATGGAAACATTCATTTTAGACACTGAACAGATCTGTGGAAGAAAAAGTATGTCATTACTTGGAGCACTTCAGAGCCAAGCTAATAAATTTGTAAATAGGTTTCATGAAGAAAGAAAAACCAAACTCAGGTATCATTACCATGCCCATTCTGTTCAATTTTTTCCTTTTTTTTAACAAAATGCTATTATATTTAAAAGAGAAAACTTGATTGGCCAGCCAAAATCGCTGATGAAATTTTTTTTTTATTGAAAACAGATTATGGAATTAAAGCCACATTTCTTGGCTTTTCAAAGTGGAGTTAGAATGTTTACTTTTGTTAAATACTTAGTAGGAAGACCCTTAATAGTTCTACTATTTTTTCCCCACTCAAAGTTAAGTAAATGATGTTTCATCACTCTTTTTGGTTAGCACTTTTAAAATCTTATGCACTCATTCAGCTCTTCTTCCTTTTATTTTCAACCAAGGAAGATGGTGTCAAAATATTAAAGTTTACCTTCTTTTCTTTTTACTTTTGGATAGTCTCCTCTTAGACAATGAGCGCTGGAAGCAAGCTGATGTTCCTGCAGAATTTCAGGATCTTGTTGATTCTATATCAGATGGAAAGATTGCTTTACCTGAAAAAAAATTAGCGGGTATGTGTATTCATTCACACATTCTCTTTTGATTTTCTATTGTGTATTTTACATAGATGCTTAATATAGTAGAACCTCTATAAATTGGTCACCCAAAGGGCTGGAACAAATTTGTCAACATATAGAAGTGGTCAACATAAGAAACTGGGCCTACTGTACTGATACATGTGGTGTAGTGTGTCATCTAGAGAAATTAGGTCACTTAAGAAGGCTGTGTAGGGAGGTGGTCAAGTACAGCGAGCGGTTCTACTGTATTTCTTTAATTGACAGTGCAAATTGAAAAGCCTAGAACTAATTCTCCCAGCTTAGTTAGTAAATAGTTGACAGGAAAAGTATCTATGAAAATTTATAATTTCAAATATTTATTGCTAATCATATGCCAGACAATGGACCATGTACTTTATATGCATTACTCCAGTTTATTATCACAACAACCTATGCTAAAGGTACTATTGTTACCTTGTGTAATGGTAAGGAGGCTTGAGGCTCAAAGGGGTTAAGGAATTTTGTACAAGTGATGAGCTGGGATTTGAAATCAGCTTTATGTAATCTCACAGCTATGTTCTTAACTAATATACTAAATTAGTTGGAGATGTGTTCATTCAGTGAACACTAGTTAGTTTCTACTTTATGTCGTATGTTGAGACAATTATAATTCTGCTTTAAAGAAACTAAATTTAATGAACAAAACTAAAAAATACATAAGCAATCATAAGTAGTATAGTTATATGATGGAGAAAAGCAAATGTTAAAGAATGATAAAGGAGGAGGATGAGGTAAGATGGCCGACTGGAGTCAGCTTTCAACAGAAGCTGCTGTCCATAGAGAGAGATAATTGCAAGAATGAACTCCAGAAAGCTGAAGGTTGGAAGCTGAGCTGAGAGAGAGAAGTGCACATCATCCCTGCTGAGGCAAGCTGCAAATCCAAAGAAGCAAATTTCAGGTATAAAACCCATCCCAAAAAGGATAAGAGTCTGTCTCCTCCCCCAAGGGAATGGCTTGCCGTGTGATCTCTACAGGTGAGCAATGAACAGAAAATCTTGTTTCACCCAATGGGAGAGAGTCGCGGAAGGCCAGAACTCCTTCTCCAGAGAGATCCTGCTGTAAGCCTGGATATTCTCTTGCCTGGCATAAAAGTTGAACAGATATTTTCCCTGCCATTCTGAACTCCCAATCCACCCTTCCCCCCTCACCTGGTAGTCTGGAAACCTACCTTCTGCAGAGATCAGAGGGTCTGGTGGTTCCTTGCTAGGGCTGGGCATTGCATGGGCCGTGGTGGCAGCAGCTGTGCTGTGACTCAAGTAAAAGTGGAGAGAGAGACGTAGAGGAGTGGGTGACTGGCCTGGTACCACAAAGTGAGTATCAGCGGCAAGCAGAGATGCAGGAACCCTCACAGCGGCACCTGCCACGCAGCAGTGATAGTGGTGCACTCCCACCAGGGTCAAATTTTGGAGAGACACCTCCCCAATTCTGACTGCCAGAGGGAGCCAGACCCTGCCCCTGCAGTGGTACCAGAGG